CCTATGGGAATAAGGGTTCGTGTGTAGGGTTTAGGGTTTAGGATTTTAGGGTTTAGGGTTTAGGGTTTTGGGTTTAGGGTTGGGGGTTTAGGGTTTAGGGTTTAGGATTTTAGGGTTTAGGGGTTTTAGGGTTTACCGTTGGGATCAGGAAACAAGCTTCGAGACGTTTGGGTCGGGACCGAGGGGCCTGCGCAGGACGAAGAGTGCTCAAAGCAGGCAAAACAGGGGCTTTTTAGGGTTTCTAGTGTTTCTAGTGTTTAGGGTTTAGGGTTTCGGGTTTAGGGTTTAAGAATTAGAATAGGGCTTTGGGGTATAGTATACCATAATTATGATAAGGAGTCCCCAAAATAGTATTGGTAATGTTTTAGGCTCCTATAGTACCCTGGCCCATCGTGGCAGTCAGGGGTGCCTTGTTTCAGGTCTGTTAAGGCAGGATCCATAGGGTCTCTACCAATATCCACCAAATGATCCTCAGCCACTAAACCCTGCAACGGTAGAAACCTTAAGCCTCTAGTCGAAGGCGCGACAGAAGCTTAGTCCTAACAGCAGCAGTCCGAGCTTTAGGGTCAAATTCGGGTTTCGAGTTTAGGGCGGGGAGCCAGAGACCAGCCCAGAAATCTGTGACAGAGCCTAAATCATCTCCCAGATTGCTTTTTCATCTCAAATGCTCCTATTCGTTATGGGAGAACCCCCGAAATAATCTTCGGAACTTCAGACATTTGGCGATGATCCGTAACGGTTTTTAGGTTTCGGGTCTGGGGTTTTAGGCCTAACCCCTACAATGGCCCTACACCGAATCCCCTAATCCTGGGACTGTACTCCAAACGGCAGCAACGTGGGTGGCAGGCTCGGTGTTGCGGAACAGGATGTCGTGGCGGACCGAGGGCACGTGACCTGCATCCAAACTGGATCAACCACGGGTCGGGATCTTCGGGTTCTGAACTTAGGGTTTAGGGTTTAGGGTTTAGGGTCGGGATGTTCGGGTTCTGAACCTCAGGTTACGGGTATATACCTGTTTGGGATCGCAACCTTCACTAGCAAGTTCGGGACTGCGCCAAAGAACTCCAGCAGGGCAGCTCGGAGCCGAAGTGACACCAAATCCCGAAGATTGCGGATGAGTGTTTAGGGTTTAGGGTTTCGGGGTTTAGGGTTTAGGGTTTAGGGATTAATGAGTCCAGCTTCATCCAGTCGCTTTGAATGCACGACTTCAAACCCATCCTCCTGCACCGTTCCAAACCTGCGAAAGAAGACTTCGCGTAAGCTTCAACATATTTCGGGCTTAGGAACTCTCAATGCTCCGTTAAGTGCGGAGTCTGTTGTTGGGGGCCTCAACAACTAGACTAGGGTTTCTGGGTACATGAGGGTATAATCAGCTTAAGGAACCCTGAGGAAGGTATGGCTAGTTGTTTCCGCTTCTATCATTGCTGTCGCCCCCAGTTGCGGCCTCCAAACCCCGAAGGGAAGTCGCTCTTCACATGCACCTGGCGCATCTTCAAGGTACTTGCCCCCTAAACCCTAAACCCCCTAAGCCCCCTAAACCCCAGACCCTAAACCCCCTAAGCCGGAATTCAAGCAAGAATCGTCTCTCGGCTCTGTATCTGGATGTCGGTCATCTCTCCATTTCTCACTCTCTCCCTCTGTGCATACACGACTTGCTATCTATATGCCAGCTGACTGTCTTGTTGTCCACGGCATACATGTATCTACACTCTTCCTTTATCCCGGTGTGCTTATTTTTGGTCCTTGTCCCTCTGGCCACATGTCCGTCGTCTGTCTCTTTCTCTGTCCCTTTGTTGCTCTAGCTGTCGAGCTCGCAGAGCTCTCTCACTCACTATGTTTCTCTGTGTGTCTTCTGCGCTCACTTCCCGATCACAAAGCAGTAAACACATGGAGTGGCAGGGCATCCTGCTCTGTCTGCAGATTCAAACCCTTCCTCAGGCCTCGCGATTGCTTGCCATGTCTGCGTAAGAGGTGCGGTACATGTTCTTCATGAAGTCCTTGCATGCAAGCATGGCAAGCAACATCTGCAAGAATCGTCTGCCAACTGTGTCCTGTCTTGCCATCTCACATGATCAGGTCGTTTCATTAGACCGTACAGGCCCGCACACACAGACAAAGTGCAGCGTAGCAGGACCACCTAAGTGATACTTTTCAAGTCACGAGACCTTGATGTGGTACTTATATAGATGATGATGAAGAAGAAGACAATGATGATGATGACGATGATTATGCTGACGATGATGATGATGATGATGATGATGATGATGCATAAGACCCTTCCTACAAGGACCGGGAAGTAATAGACTTCTAACTAAAAGCTGTGTCTAGCTTGCATGCGAGAAGAGCGCGGCTCAGAAGAACTGCGTACTTAATGCCCTCAGAACCCAGCTCCTGTGTTTAATGTAAGGGTCTTCATAATTACAACAGGGTTTTGGGGCCCATTATACTATAACTATAATAAGGAACCCCCACAATAGTATTGGTAATTATACCCGACTCCTTTTTTTTAGGGTTTCGGGTTTTTTTTGCCTCCTACCTAGCAAGGACGAGCCGGCATTGCAGGGTGATGTTCGACATGGAGGGTTTAGGGCTTTTAGGGTTTCGGGTCTCGACCCGTGCGTCCAGTGAAGACCAATCCTAGACAAACATTCGAAGCTGCAGGGCCCTTAGACAACCCGCAAGGCGAACTGAAACGCTGAGCCAACGGCTCTGTAGCTCTCATGCCACTCGTACTGGTTCTCCGGTTCACCCGCCACCTTAAGCACGAATAGAGGGTTGAGAAGAATGGGCAGGAACGTGGGGTTTCGGGCCTTCGGCCTTTTGGTTTGTCAGGGGCTGTGGCACTGGCCATATGCATTGTGAGAGAACATCCTCGGGCTCAGGTGTAGGGTACTATAGGGGCCTTAATGATTAGAATAGGGTTTCGGGGCCCATTATACTAAAGTTCTAATTATAATAAGGAATCCTCCAAACTAGTTTCGGTAATTTTTTAGGCCCCTACAGTATGGAGCTGATTGTATCGGCTCGGAGTTTCTGCGGTTCAGCGGCTTAAGGACATCGGGTGCTTGAGATTCAAAGGCACATCAGCAAGTTCCAAGCTGCATCCGCAGGATTCGAAGACAGCACGGGAAAGCCATAGCCTGAGCCCCTGTTTTGGGGGAGGAGACTGTGAAGATAACGAACCCCGAAACCCTAAACCCGAAACCCAAAATCCTAAACCCGAAACCCTACACCCGAAACCCCAAACCCGAAACCCAAACCCCGGAACCCTAAACCGGACACCCGGAAGACCGAAGCTCTGAAACCCGCAACCCAAAACCCTACACCCTACTCCCGGAACCCTAAACCCGAAACCCTGAAGACCGAAGCTCTGAAACGCGAAAGGATCCTAAAACCCGGAAACATGTGTGAGAGTTTCGGAGGCCGGGTGTTCTCCTCCACTCTACAAGGATTTAGGGTTCAGGGCTTTAGGGTTTAGGGTTTCAGGCGCCCTTGGGGGAATTCTAAATGAGGTTGTGGTGTCTGTGAGAGAGTAACTACATTAAGGAGCCCTTATGGACGAGCATTTCTTATTTTTCAGGCTCCGGTAGCAACCCCTAAACCCTAACCCCTGAACCCTAAACCCCTAAACCCTAAACCGTAAACCCTAAACCCTAACCCCTTTTTTGCAACGGCCTTGTCAAATCTCGACCGAACCCTAACCCCCAAACCCTAGACCCCTAAACCCTAAACCTCAAACCCTAAAACCAAACCCCTAAACCTTAAACCCTAAAGCCTAACCCCTAAACCCTAAACCTTTTAGCACAAGAACTCGGGGCGCGAAGGCCGGAAACCGACACTCCCGGATGAGGGGCTCGGTTCAGGGTTTGACGGTTTATTGTTTAGGGGGTCGGGGACTTAAGGGGGGGTTTGGGGCGCTTAATGTGGGGGCCTTCATAATTACAATCGGGTGTTGGGGGGTTCCTTCTTATAATTATAGTATACTATACCCCAAAGCCCTATTCCAATTATTAAGGCCCCCTATATCAGGGGTCGAGGAGCTTTTGGGAGTGGGCCTTGAGGGGGTTAAGGGGCTGAGTGTCGTCAGGCTCCCGCAACCGCCTGAAACCTCAAAACTCCGAAGAGACAGCAACTAAGGGACAATAGGAGACACCCACGGCTTAGGGTTTAGGGTTTTTTTTTTAAAGCACCTTTTTCCATCTCGCTAGGGTTTAGGGTTTAGGGTTTAGGGTTTAGGGTTTAGGGTTTAGGAAGGGACCCCCAATCCTAATACCCTATGTAACCCTTATATAGTCTCATAAGGCCCCTGTATAACCCCAAGGGTCCCTTTAAGGGTCGCTCCTTTAGTCTCTTGAAACAAGGAACCGCCGCAACACCCGAAGTACTGAAAGTGACAACTGACTGCAATCATCTCAGCCGCTGGCTACAAGGCGGTTTGGTGGGAGCAATAAAAAGTTGCATTGTGACGATTAACTTATAAACTGAGGCTGGTGCCAAACCATCTCCAGACATCGCACGAGCCGGATCGCCTGCTGCACAAAGCGGTCTTCTCGAAGAATCCAGGTACGATGGTCGAGTTGGGCCGCACTTCTATGTCGGAATGTGGATGCAACTTGTGCAAAATGTTCTTGGCCTGTTGCCGCTAGTAGTTCTGAAGTAGTTACAGAGGATCAAAGACGGTACTACGGTTGCATGCAGTACTAGGGTTTGGCACGTCTTTGCACGTGCCTCATGTCCGACATGTCTGTCAGAGAACCTTTCCAAGCTCGAGCCCAAGCTTACGTTGGCAAAAGCCCCTTCCTCCTGTGCTTCGGCTTTGAGTGATGGGGCTCGAAGCTCGACAGGGGAGGTCCTGAAACTGCGAAACAGTCAAGGCACCTTCAGCGTGGAAGCTCAACGTGTCGGCGCACGTCTTGTGCACGTGGCTTGAGCCCACTGCACCATACATACTGGTGCCACGACTGCTTGGCTGACACGCAACGTCTACAGCAACAACAGTCATCGCAGAATCTGCGGAACTGGTATACAAGTGCTATCGCGCCCCAGCAATAGCTAGTGTTCGGAACGTAATGGTACTGGGGGCAGGTGGGGCTCACAATAGAAGTATGCAATCGCTGTGGCCTTAGTACTGGTACTGTAGTTGTCGTCGTGGTCGTGGTGATCGTCGTCGTGTCCGTCGTCGTCGCAGGAGTAGGAGTAGGAGTAGGAGTAGGAGTAGGAGTAGGAGTAGTAGTAGTAGTAGTAGTAGTAGTAGTAGTTGTTGTAGTAGTAGTAGGACAAGGACAAGGACAAGGACAAGGACAACGACAAGAACAAGGACAAGGACAAAGACAAGGACAAGGACAAGGAGTAGGAGTAGGAGTAGTAGTAGTAGTAGTAGTAGTAGTAGTAGTAGGTCTAGTAGGTAGTAGTAGGTAGTAGTAGGTAGTAGTAGGTAGTAGTAGTAGTAGGAGTAGTAGTAGGAGTAGTAGTAGGAGTAGTAGTAGTAGTAGTAGTAGTAGTAGTAGTAGTAGTTGTTGTTGTAGAAGTAGTAGTAGTAGTAGTAGTAGTAGTAGTAGTAGTAGTCCTAGTAGTACAAGGAGCAGAAGTACTAGTGAAGCATCAGCAGTTTCAGAAGCAGTAGTTCACTTTCGGAGCCCCTGGTTGCACAGGCTCAGCTGCACACCATGCCTGTGCACCATCTAGAACAGGTCGCCGTACGATCAAGACAGACAAGTGCTTTGAACCTGTGGTTGCGTCCTGTATCAGGCCCGTTTCGTCAGGCACCGCAACGTGTGGGAACTGCATGAATGCATGCCTACGTACGGATCTACATCAGCATCTATAACTACATCTAGTGTATATGAACTTACATACATGTACATATACATATATGCTTGTTTCCCAAACAGCGCGGTTAGACTGGATTAGGTTGCTGAGGGGCGAGGCGCCCGAGGCAGGCGTGCCCCGCAGTCTCACGGCTCCTGCTGTGGCGCTTGCATGTTTTTGGTTTAGGGTTTAGGGTTTAGGGGCTTTCTCATAGTCACGTGCCGATCCAGCCGGGATGTCGAAGTCGTTGTAAATCCACCACGGCTAGGTGGTTGGAAACGGTGCTCCTGCCACGATCCCTGCACTCTAATCTCGCAATTGCCTCTGAAGTGGCGACAGCATCTCGCGCGCTTCTGCCTCCAAACTCGTGCTCCCGCGACAGTTCTGTGCTAACCTGCGGGGGTCAGATTGTGCTTCCGCCATAGTGCCTCGTGCATGAACGGGGTGGCCTCACAACCCTGAGGAGTGCTCCCGCAATGGCGTTCTTGGGCATGGGGGGCTTGGACTGCTAGGGGTGCTCCTTCACTGTTTACCATCTCTGCTGGCGAAGATATTGTCCAATTTATCGTACCTATACATAGACCAGTAGACATTGGCTGTCACGATGGCCAGCAGCGTGGGGGTTTGGAGCCCTTCCGACTTGAGATGTTTGACATTTTCGGCTCCGCAGAGTCAAAACCCAAATCTTGGTACTGATGTCTGGACACCTCTGACTTCTCCAGCACCGGCGGAATGAGTGAGCTTCTTAGGGAGTCGTCTCCGCGCTGCCTCTGAAGTCGGCAAAGTGCCCGTAAATGTCCAAAATCTTAAACTTAGGGGCTGAGTACCCTAGCCCAAAAAAGGTTAACCTTTTCAGTTATAGTAGGATTATATAAGCCCCAAAAGGTTAAAGGTTACCTACCCAGCCCCTAAGTAAAATTTGGTTCCTTGTTTGATTGCCTTCCGCTATTTGACCCAGACATGAGCCATTGCTGGATCGGGGACCAGGGTCTGTCTACAGACGCAACTTAAGGAACATGTTCGAGCTACTCGCCTGACATTCCTGCATGCTGGTGACGATAAGCTCGGGCAAAATCGGCGCCGTGTGTCTACTTTATCACCAAATTTGCGGTCTTCGAGCTCCAACTCAGCAGATTCTCACCCAGATTGCCGTGTGCTGGCACTCTCGGATTGGACGGACACCCCATTGCTGGGGAACCTGATAATTCTGCAGTCGCCCTGCAGCTAGAGAAGAGTCTGACAGCCACATCAAGCTTGCCGAAGTCTGCGGGTTGCAGCCACCCCATGTCAAGTTTGAGGGTTTAGGGTTTAGGGTTTGAGGCTACTGACGAGTCTAGCTACGATAATCAGCAGGGTGAACTACTGGTGGTGTGATCGTGCTGGAGCGTGCCACTCTGGCGATTCATAGTGTGCTTGTAGCTGCCGCTTTCGCAGCGGCCGAGCACATAAACGTCGTTACTGTCGTTGAAATGCCGGGGTACATCTGCACTAGCCATATGAACTACCTGCTCCTCCTCAGTGTCCTCCTCCCTCTGCTCCTCCTTCAACTGCAGCTGCTGCGGCTGTTTCTCCTGCTGCTGCTTCTGCTTTTACTTCCACTTCTACCTCTACCTCTACTTCTACTTCCACTTCTTCTATTACCACTACTACTACTACTACTACTACTGCTACTACTACTACTACTACTACTGCTGCTGCAGCAGCAATATCAACAACAACAGCAAGTACTACTACCACGACGAAGACGACGACGACGACGACGACTACTACTACTACTGCTACTACTACTACGACGACGACTACTACTACTCCTACTACGACGACGCTGAGTTACTGGCTATGGGAGCACGGTGCAGCGCGAATTGGGTTGCAAGGCTCTCGAAAAGGTCTGCCTGTATAGACTGCCAGACTTCTCTCTCGAAGGTGACACATTTGCCGTCGTGATGTGGCCCATGGTCCCGAAGATCAATTCAACCATGATATTGTGGCATATTGTGGCTTGGCGCCGCCTGCAACAAGCACAGGGTATGCTCGACTAAAGACCACAGGCTCTATCGTGTCGGCAATGCCTGACACATTTGGGTAGTTCTCTGGATCAGGGTCCCTTGCGAAGTCCCCAAAATAGTACGCAACCCCCGTCTGACAAGGGCCCTAAAAGGGACCCTCATTTAGGGAACTACCCATTTCTAAGTCCCCATGCAAAATCTGAAGGAGCCTCCGCCCATCAGGGTCGAGGAGCCCTTCGGCTGACAGGGCCTGAGAAATCTCAGCGAAGATCTGAAACAACTCCAACTTTGAGAGCACGGTTCTACGATTCCGAGTTCCCTAGACGCAGAAATTGCAAGCAAGAGCCTAAAGCACCCGAGCCCTAAATGTGACACCAACGCCCAAAAGCGAACACTTGCTTGCGTGGCACCAGGCGCGCAAGCGCGGATTCAAGATGTCTACTGCACTAATAACGGCCTTGAAGCTTCCAGAATTTTAGATTAGGGCTTTCAGGCTTTGAGTCTCTTTGGGTTTAGGGCTTTAGGGTATGCGTTTGGGTTTGGGGTGAAACTTTAAGATCAAACCAAGACCCTTCCACTGGTTACAGTTTGCGAACCTTTTAGGCAGCTTGCAAGCTAATCGGAACCCCTCAACCCTCAGTCGTAAGCCTGACCGGAAATCTCAACCCCTACCAGCCAGCCATTAATGTAGGGGCCTTAGTGAGTAGAATAGGGTTTTGGGGGGGTTCCTTACTACAGCTAGATAGCACAGCTAATGGGTAAGGCCCCGTATATTGGGCTGCTCGGCCGGGACATGACAATGGCACGCCACTTCTCAGTCTGAAAGCCTGTGCGCAAACTCAGTTTCAGCTGCTTCCTGTTGGTGCCAAGGAGCCCCTAGCGAGCAATACTTCATAGACCATGTCAGAGTTTCAAGGTAATCAATATCAACCTTAAATAGTATGATCCTCCGTAAAAAAGTACCGACAATTGTACATGAAGCCCTAAATCGCCCTCGCAGCTAGACTCGAAGATAAAAGTCTTTGAAGCTGACGCAGGCCCTGTGGGCATGCAAACGGGCATCCGGCTTCCCTTCAAGGGAAGCACTGCGCCAAAACAAATTCAACAGGGGACGGCCTAATATAGGGGCCTTGATAATTAGAATAGGGTTTGGGGCCCAGTATACTATAGTTATAATAAGGAACCCCCCACCATAGTATTGGTATTTATTTAGGCCCCTACATTAAACGAAAGTTGAGGCATTAAGATGGGCACCTCGGATTTCCATGGCTAAGGCTTGGACACGGTTTCAGATAGACAGTCTCCACGATCGCCTTCTGCTCCGAAAACCCTATGGGTTTAGGGTTTAGGGTTAGGGTTTTTTTAAAGTGTACTAGTCCCTTTCTCTCCGCAGAGACTCGCCCCAGGGTTAGGGTTTAGGGATTAGGGTTTCAGGTAAACTCTCGAGTTTCGGCTGTGTCAATCTTGCAGGACGGAGCATGCGCCGGAGAATGACGCCCAACAAAAAGTCTTGTGTCATCCGGTAGAGGAAAAGGAACACCACGAGCAGCCCTGAACCAGGAGAGGTCGCAAAAGTTCTTGTGGATCAGGGTTTCGGGTTTAGGGTTCATGCGAGACTGCAAAATGTGGAGCTTCGGATGCTTAGGGCCTCGGGTTTAAACGGACTACGAAGATCACGACTTGGCGAACCGACTTCTACATCTTATACCAAACAC